TGATTAAGCAGCATATAGATTTGAAACCAGAAATATTTTTGTTAGATATAATACCAGAAAGCTATGATAAAGCTTTGATAAAGGGACTATATATTCAATATTACATGTACTGACTGCAGCAAGAATTGTATTTGCATAATATTGGAAAAATGAGAACACCCCATCAAATGAAAATATAATTCAGAAAATATTGGATTGTGCAGAGATGGATAGATTGACATTGAAAATAAAAGATAAAGGAGATATAGAGCATTACTTAACATGGAATAGGTTTTATCAATGGTTAGAGGTAAGAGGCAGAAATTAGATGAAGAAAGAGCATTGTTATATAAATTAAACATGAACATTGTTTATAACTATAAGTATGCTAATATAATCAATAGGATTACAAATAAGCTAATTGGTTAGAATCATTCTGTTGTACTATTACTATTGTTATGTAGATATGTAACCTTTTCTTTTTTTCTTTTCTTTTGTAAAATGGTATGCCCAGATCATACACTTATTCAAAATGTTAACATGTAAATAAAAAAACCTTGACTTAAAAAAAAGAAAATTAAAATTAATAAAATAACCAAGAGTATAATGGATATTATATAATGGATACATTAGTATAGTTATGACTAAATACATATTGTGAATGATCAGCTTTACTTAGCCAAATTTAGTAAAAAAGGACATTTAAAAAATGTAAACATCTACACATTTTCATTATTAATCTTCTGAAGAAATTTGTTTAAATTTGTTTAGGTTATAAACCACATTCCATATTTTAATTAAAGAATTCAAATTAAAATAATGGAAGTTGTGTTCCTTTTCTACATATAGATACAGTATCTCCCCAATTGTGAATAGGTATTCACAATTTAATTATATACACAGTTTCATAGGAATTATATTTAAGTACTACTGTGTTTCCCTGAAAATATGACCTACCCAAAAAATAAGCCCTGGCCTGAGTTTTTTGGGTTGGGCTGATATACACTCTCCCCCCAAAATAAGCCCTCGTGAAGGGGGTGGGCATGCCCAGCACAGGAGGCAGCCCTTCTCTTCCCCGGTCACCTCATGGCTGCTTGGCCCCGTAATTGGGGCCTGTGGATCAGCTGAGCCAGTGAGGGCCAGGAGCTGTCTCTCGTTCCTTCTCTCTGGGTGCAGCTTGTCCCTTTCAAGTGATTAAATGTCAATTGAGAAAAGGATGCACATCCCAGGATTGCAATGCTGAAAGCTTAGGATGCAGCCTTTTGAGGATGTCCATCTATGCTGAGCTTGAGGAAGGGATGACAGGCAGAAAAATCCCCCTTCCCCTTTTTCCTGCCATTCATCAAAAAGGCTCCATTCTGAGCCTTCAGCATATCCCAGGACTGTAATGCTGAAGGCTTGGTATGGAGCCTTTTTGATGAATGGCAGGAAAATGGGGATGGGGATGGGGATTTTCCTGTCTGTCATCCTTTCATCAAGCTCAGCACAGACTGAGGAAAGGATGACAGGCAAGAAAATCCATTCCCCCATTTTCCTGCCATTCGTCAAAAAGGCTCCATTCTGAGCCTTCAGCGTATCCCTGAAGCGATACACATTGTGCCTGCAAGCGGCAGCACTGCCATGGAATTCATCACACCGGCACAGCCTCTTGGAACAGGACCCTGCAAGGATTGTTGTATTGCTGCACGTGTGAGCAGTGACACTGCCGTGAGTTTTGACATACTGGCTGCACTGCTGTGATGAAGCTTGTGGCAGTGCTGCCATTCATGAATGTAATGCCACAACAAGCCTTCCAGGGTCCTGCTCCAAGAGACTGCACTGGTATGAGAAACTTCACAGTGGTGCCGCCACTCCTGTGTGTGGCTTATTTGAGTTGTGAACAGATTGGGGATTGGGCAGCCTTTTAAGTGGCTGGGATTGCCTGCAGGATGCCTGGCTTCTGAGTTCAGTGGTGCCCAGTGTTTGGGCTCCGGTGTGGTCTTCTCCTGGGCAGTGGTGGTGCATCCAAATTGCATCCATCTCACTAAGTCACCAATGGCTTTAACCCTATCCTGACCGCCAAAGCTTTGTGGGGGGGGTTGTCAAGTCCAGCTGGCTTCACATGGGAGATGAGGTGCTGTGAGGAAGCCCATTTCTCGTTTTGACTGGATGGGAGTTGCCCACGCAGAGGCCAGGTCTCAGGCACCACCCGGAGCAAGCCCCAAGCTGGAGGCAGGGGAGGGTCAATCCTCTTATCCAGTTGCCCTCCACTGTTTTTCATCAAATGTCAGTGTGTGTGTAAGAGAGAGAGAGGGAGGGAGAGGAAGGGAGGGGGAGAGAGAGAGGGGGGGAGAGGAAACCCTTTCAAACAGCATTACCTGCAATTCTTGTTGCTCCCCTACGTCATTTCTCTTTCTCTCTCTCTCTCCCTCGCTCCCTCCCCCATCTCTTGTTCTCCCTCTTGCACACAGAAGCATTTGATTGCTTGAAAGGGGCCCAGAAGCCATGAGGTGACTGCCTCCTGCACTTCATAAAAAAAAAAAAAAAAAAGACCTCCCCGAAAATAAGCCTGAGTGTTTATTTTCAAGCCTAAAAGAAAATAAGACAGAGTATATTCATGAACTGGAATAGCGTATTGTCAGAGTATATTCATGAACTGGAATAGAGCATGGTAACAAGGTCAGCCAATGAATAGGCATAGCAATTAATTCATCCAATGAGGACAGTTTGGAAACTGAAATGAGAAGTAGCCTAGGCATGGCTCTATACATTAAGCTCTGCAGCTCTGAAGCTATGTTAAGCTCTTGAATCTGTCTATTGAAGATGAAAGTGCTTCTCTCCTCTGCTTGCCTGCTGAACTAAAGTGGTGTCTGTTTCTGAGCTCCTGAGTTGCTGCTGAAGCTCTGAACTAGTAACATGTCTACTTCTGTCTGAGTTTGCTCCATGTTGGAGAAATCTACAGTTGGTTTGTAAAATCTACTTATTATGTTTATAAAGACGTTAAATGAAGCATCAGCCATCTGTATTTATTTTTCTGGTGCTAAATTAATGCTGTAAAACTCTGAATAGGTTATGGGTTCAGAAGGCCAGAAAAGACTGAATTGTAATTAAAGCTGAGAGACTGCCTGTGTTAAAAGTAAGAAACAAAGCAAGAGGCTGCAAAACTCTGAATACCAGTCTTATTTTCAGGGAAACACAGCTAGTTAATATTATATAACAAGCCATATGTGATGAATAAGGTTCCCTTGTTTATATTATTTCATTAACTTCCCCTCTGTTATAATGTGTTTATATAAATCATGAATTTTGCCATAGTGGAAGGAGAACAGGGGTTGTTGTTTAGAATCCTCATCTGTGCTACTTTCTAATAACATGATTTATATATGCTGCTGAATATTTGGATTGATGTGTTCTTTGTGGATTAAATTTAACTCATTGTGATAACCTAATCTCGATGTTACTGAATATTGGCTAAGAAAAAATTGATTGTATATTACTTTAAAAGTCACGTTCCCAAAACATTTTTATGCAATATTTTTTAAATAATGTTGGCTGCTTGTGGGGATTTATTTTTTTATTTTCTTTTATTCTACCTTTATTATTTTTACTCTGAGAAGCACAGAGCTGGAGACAGAAGCCTGAAGATGATGAATGAGACTTCATCGAAACGTTGCCTAGATACTTCGAATCTTACGCGGGAGAAAACCCGAACAACCAAAGATCTACATATATTATATTTTATATATAACTCAAAACAGCAAATGTAGCTAATACACCTTCTTTCTCCTATTTTCCCCACAACAACCCTCTGAGGTGGATTGAGCTGAGAGAGTGGTTGGTTCAGTTACCCAGCTGATTTTCATGCCTAAGGTTGTACTAGAACTCAGTTTCCTGGTTTCTAGCCTGGGCACAAAACCTAGACCATTTGAGTCTTTTCTCAGATACTCTGAAAAGTTTTGATTATAAAGAAGAAGCAAATGTTTATTAAATAACAAGTTACATTTCCTGAAATATGTCAGTTTAAGTGGCAGATGAAACAATAAATAATACTGGTAAACTATTTATTTCATTCAAATTCAACAGCTATGGATTGTTAGGGGGAATATAAGGCTTTTGGTCCACACATCATCAGATCCAGTTTGAAAAGTTTTTCGCTGCTATATTGAAATTATTTTATTGGATTTTAATCTCTGTGTGTCCCTGCTTCTGTCTTACACCCATGTACTATACCTGCTATGTAATATTTTTACGATGGGGCCAAAATCTTCTTTTCCTTTTATTGTTTGTATTTTTGTTTTTCTTTCTACATTTGAAAGATTACTGAGATTCATATTTTTCCTATGATTATAGGTATCAGTCATTTGAAAGATTACTGAGATTCATATTTTTCCTATGATTATAGGTATCAGTTTACATATGACATGATGTAAAAGATAGATACATTTCTCAACAACAAATCTTCTGGTCATTGGAGCCCACAAATCTGCTTTTTACCTGAGCCAGGGGTGGTATTACTTTATGGTACCATATAAGTTTCTTTGGTTAACTGAGATGGAAATATATGTAGCAACAGCTACATCTTGTTTATTGTAAGTTTAGATAGGATACATAAATGTATATATAATGTTATATATATATATATTGCACTGTTTAATAAGTATTGGTATTATGTATAAATGGAAAAAACCTCAATAAAGCATTAAAAAAAAAGAAAATGCAGAGATAAAAGTAGTTTAGCAAATAAGAATTTTAGATTGATCATTAGTCCGCATTACAATTAGTGTTATTAGCTTTAATTGAGAAAATATGTTACTATCTTTAATTTATTAGTGAAAACAAAATAAGTACAAGAATAACTTTGTTGGCTTTGTAAAAAGAAAATTTCTAATTCAGAACATACATGATTTCTAATTTCTAATCCAGTCCAGAAAGGGGGATATGTTATTTTTAAAATACATCCTGAAAAATTTGTGTTGAATTTGTACTAGATAATTGAGACAAGTTATATCTGACTCCCTCTCCCCCTCCTCTTTTTTTTCTAGTGGTTCTTCAGGTATGCAGTCTTGTCCTTTACCCAATCAAGTTCATTGAAACTGTCAACTTAAGAATATACCATGAATTCAACTGGGGCTATGGTCTGGCTTGGGGTGCAACTATATTTTCATTTGGGGGTGCTGTACTTTATTGTCTGAACCCTAAGAACTATGAAGACTACTATTAAAGGACACTTCTTTTGTAAAGAAAGGAATAAAACAAGGATTGTCCTGTCTTTTATAAGTGTTTTTAGTACTTTTGTAGAGTGTCAAACTGTCTAATCCATTAGCCAATTCTTTTTGGCTATAACTACTGCAAATAGCTTTTTAACATCTCTTTAAAAAAAAATCTGATAAATTACACCTGCTACATCTGTAGTGAAATGAAAGAAGTGGCAGCTACAGTAAGGACGGTAATGGATATGAGAAAAAGCAGTTGTATTTGTTATAGTCTCTTAGCACAAAAATTGTGCAATTCTGTCGTTATATTATACAGGATGATATATGATGAAATATGCTGAAGTTTACCAACTTAGGCTCCTGTCTTGTATTGGTCCTGGGACTCTTACACAAAACAAATGACTGAATGACTAGATGCTGAGAGAAGAGAAAACAACTGATTAGTACATGTTCTAGTACCAGTTCTCAAACAAGATGTACATTTTTCAGCCAGCGGTGGTATGTCAGCAAGTCAAAACTTAAAACATATTCTTCATTTTATGTATTTGGACATTCAGTTTCAGCTATAACCCAAGTTCTAGAAATAATGTGGAGAATGACAAAAATATATTGAGAATTTTTAAAGGTGGGGGGAGTGGGGAAAATATGAATGAGCTTCTTTTATCTTGATGCCATTTCATTTCTAAGCACCACAGTAAAGTTTTCATGAGCAATGTTTGAAAATGCTTCATAGAAAGGCTGTAATTATAGAACTATGGAGATACAGTAGAACCTAATGATAGAGTACAAGTAAGAACTCTTAAATGACTGTCAGTTTATAAGAGTTTTCTGCAACTATTGGTTAGGTTTAAAATAATTAATTAAAATTAATATTGCTTATCGACAATTTGAAGTGACGGCAAAATAAGTGCTTAAAATGGGATGAGCTGTCTTCATCATCAAAGTCATCACAATAAATCATGGATTATTATGTGGCAAATGAGAAACAATGAATTTCAGGTATGCATGGTACCAAGTTCCCATGTTTTCCTCTGGCATGATTATATAAGAGGATATAAATGGGGATTTTTTTCCCCTTAAGATTAATTGCAGCTTCCTATTTTTTCCAAACTTGATAAATTGGTAAATTTTAGCAATTAGCCAATTTAAAATTATGGATTCTGAAACTAGCTTTTGCAAACAAAACTTAGTAAATGTTAACTACATTTTTCAACAATAAACATTTAATTTAAATAAGTGTGACATTACTTTGGCTTTAAGTAAAATGTTCTATGCTCTGGGCAACACTGTAAGAAGATTGGGATGTCTGTAAGAATTTAAGCATCTCACGTAGCTTAGTTCTTAAGATGATAAATAATAGTTTGCCGCAATGTTTAATGCTGCCAGAGTATTTGTTTGCTATAAATAAAATTATTTTGCAGATAAAAACAAACATTTTAGATGGAAACATCCTTCCAAATTAAGGCAATACATTTCTGAGAGCAGTTGTTAATCTAACAAGATATTGTCAGTCTTTAATGATATATTTTGTAACACATTTGACATAGTTGTAAAGCCATGCTGATAAATATATTTCATTAAGGAGTGGGAAATAATATTACTATTAAACTCACTTGAAGTAAAACTAGAAAAAAGAATTATAACACAATTTAGACATTGTATTTGAAAAAAGTGCTAATGTGACAAATCCCTCTTTGGATACATATGATTTTTTAATATAATAAAAAATATATATTAATTTGGGATGGGAAATTGAAATTGATTTACCCAGTAGAACATTTATTTTTGTTTAGAAATGTCTTGTTTGGATATTTTTCAATTCTGAAAATATTTTTATACAGTATACACAGTTCTAATACAAATTTTAAAACAATTATTTTTGTTATATGTAAATTAGAATGTACCCTAGTCTGGCTCTCCTTTAAAACATAATACTTAAAACAATGGAAATGCTGCTCTGTGTTATTGCTCTGTAATGCAAAATTTCTTAATTTGAAAACCTCAAAGTAATAGACAATTACTGCAAATGACAGAAATAAAAACGGAGTGTCCTGCAAAATATAAATCTATCAATAAATATGTTTAAATGTATAATTATTAACAAACAGGTGTGCTTTTTTTAAAAAAATGATCTGGACTATGATTTGTGCCTCAGTCTAGAACTTTTTTATGCCTTACTCTTTCTGGGCAACCACCATTCATCCACCCTATGTCACTGAAGCTTTAAAATGTGTTACTGTATATCCAGGTGGAAGGAAGTAACAGCCTGCATATTCAGGAGCAGGAACAACTGCCATGTCTTCGTACTCCATGTAAAACAAATCCTTGTTTCATTTATTCTCCACCCTAAAACATACGCTAATTGGGCTGGTAAGTAGTGAGAAACAAAATAAATATTTCATTGGAATTCCATTTGGAACAATTGGAACTGTTGTAGAGAATGTTAAAAAGTAAAGGGTGAATGGCTCAATGTTTTCCATATGTGGAAAAATGTAATTAGCAGATTGAAAAAAAAAATGTGCCAAGCTACCAGTGACAAAGGTTAAAGAAACCGAAGTATTGTGAAGAAACTATGTGCAATAGTAGTCCACTATTAGAAGAGAAGAGATGGCATTCCAGGATTGTAGAGAGGATGACATGCAATTTAAAGCAGAAATCAATATTTATTTCCATTTTGGCTAACCTTTTCCAGAAGTGGATATGTCTTAGCCTACATTGTAAGCTAGAGCTGTTTTAATGTACATTTCTGAAACTGCTGAATGATAGTGAAGAAAAATCTGGATTAAGTTACTAGCAGAATTCCCTGAAAAAGATAGAAAAGAAATCAGACTGACAATTTGGAGAATTGCTCCCAGAACTGATATTGTTAGGCTAAGTATATCAGGATCTGATATGATATCATGCAACTTTCTTTATGTACAGCCACCTCTAAGTATATATCATTTTGTTTTTTACTTTCTAATCCAGGGGTGTCAAACTGATGGCCCACAGGCCAGATAAATCACATGCAGGCCATGCCCCCCCCAGGTCTGTAAAGGAAAAAATTTGTGATGCGTCACGTGGCATGGTAGAATTTGACACCTGTGTTCTAATCTATGTGGATGTCACTGATCTCTTAAATTTTTTCACCAATGCTACAGCCTAGGAATCTTGCTCACTTTTAGATATAATCTCCATTGAAATAAAATGGAAATGACAATTACTGAATTCATTTAACTAATTAGATCAGAGGAAATTTATATAGATAAAAACAGGTTGACAGATAAATTATTATTCAGTTTAGGGACAGGTTTGTTTGATCATATTTCCAAAATAATAATTTCAAAGAGGCCATTTAGAACATAGAATCCACTCTTTGTTCAGCACATGAATTCACGTTTCTATACAATTCATTTGTTAATTAATGAATCTTTAGAATGGTATATCATAACACTATAATTTCATAATTGAATCTGTTCAGTTGATCCTGAAACATTTCTACTAATTCAGTGGGTACTACTTAATGTCTGCTTTTGTATTTCCCTAGTTCAACTACATGAAAGAACAACTTCCTAAGAACATTTTTATGAATGAAGCATTTCTCTAGATCAGTATTTCTAAACCTTGTCCACTTTAAGATCTGTGAACATTTTTTTTAATTCCCCAGCTGGGAATTCAACTTGCTAAAGTTGATAAACATTGATCTAAAGCTTTAAATTAATGGTATCTTCCAAATGCATAGCTTTAAAGTCTTTATCAAATTCCCTCCATATGTCTGTGAATGTACACTTTTTCATTTCATTAATAATACCAATTAAGTATTGCCTCTACAATATCCCACACAGTATAGTCACCATGGCTAAGGCTGCCAACCCTCCTCCTAGACCCACCACCTCAGCAGATCCTGGCCCCCAGCAGAGTCCCATGAGGCCCCAGTGAGCAGTGAGTCCACCTGTGAGTGTAGGTGGCTGATAAGAGCCCCCTTTGATAGGAGCCAGGAGAAGCTGGCATTCTTTCTGAACCTGGTGTGGGTTCTCCTGGGGTGGTATGCCCCAGCCTATCTTGATGAGGTAGCGATGGTGAATGTGACAGCCAACCTCAAAGGAGAGGCAATGGAATGGGTGATGAGTCTCCACAACGAAGACACACTGGAGGTGAAGAACATCGATGTCTTCCTGGATGAGTTAGAGGCAGGTTTGAAAACAGAACGCAAGCCTAGAAAACAGAGTTGGAAATATGGGATCTTAGGCAGAGGATCCAGCAGGTGGAGGAGTATATCTGAGTATTTTGGAGGGTTGCCACGAAGCTGAGGCACTGGCCAGAGCAGTTGCTAGCACTTCGGAGAGCCTGAACTGGGATCTGTTCCATGCCTGCATATCCTAGGGAGTGCCCGAGAGGATCTGTGAGTAGTCAGATGGTCAAGGTGATAGACATCAACTTAAGGGAGTACAACAGACTTAGCACCTCTGAGTCAAAATTGAAAAGAAGTCATGAGTAGCACCAGCTGGGATGAACATTTGCCCCAGCAACTGCTGTCTTGGCTGCCCTGGTCCACGAAGCCATCCTAAGAATTTATTAGAGAAGTTATATTGGCACATCTTGGAAAACCCGAATCTGAATTACCATGTTTTTCCCTGCTATAGTAAACTCATACCCTGACCCCTTTTCTGATGACCCTCAAGTCACATTCTCCAATCCACCTCCATTCTGAACTCCCACCAAGTCCAGTCATTCTCCTCCATACTCCAGCGATTTGGCCTTGAGCTCTGGCAAAAGAATGTTGCGGCTATCCTTCCGTCTCACTTTACTTTTATTTCCATGGTTACCTATCCTCCCTTGTGGCAGCCCCAAATCTAATTCAAGATGGATTGGGGCTGATACTCAAATCAGGAGCCCAAAAGGAGTTAGAGGCTCTCATAGACTCAAGCTGTACCCATTGCCTAATGAGCATGCTGAGGGTGCTGAGGCTGGGGATACAGGTGAGGAAATTGACCCAATCCATGAGGTTCAAACAAGTAGATGGTTCTCTAATAAGGAGCTCCCCAACAACCCACCTAATGCAGCTAGAAATAGGCCAATATCATGAGATCATCCACTTTGTGATAGCACCAAAATGGCAGAGGTTGTGATCCTGGGATTGTCCTGGCTACCATATAGTGGTATAAAAAAGAAAGAAAGATGAAGTTGAGGAGACAGCTTCCTCCATCTACGAGAAACCTTGGAGGAGAAGCTAAGTGGCAGAGAGCAGGGGAAGCTGAGCATCTAAAGGCCACCATGGAGCACTCTCTAGGAATTCTGCTCATTCCTAAAGAATGCAGAGACTCATGGAGGTGTTCAGCAAGAAAGAATGCAACGTCCAACCCCATCCCCCACTGATCTAACTGACTGCTATCGAGATCCTGCCAGGAGCAAAGCTCCTTAAGCCAAAAATGTACTCCATGATCCCAAAGGAGATGGAGGAGCTGAGGAACTACACTGACAAAAACCTAGCCTTGGGATTTATTCAGCTGGCCAAATCTCACGTGGCAGACCCTGAGTTGTTCAAAGAAGAAATGAGGTTGTGTGTGGATTTTAGGGAGATAAGTGGGATATGCATGGAGAATATATATTCCCTACCCCTAATGAATTCCCCAGCATTCACTGGGAGCTGAAGTCCACACAACCTTGCTAAGGTTAACAAAAATTGATCTAAAGCTTTAGACTGTGGTATGCTCCAAATGCTTAGCTTGGCCACTTTAAAGACTTTATCAAATTCCCACCATATGTCTGTGAATATACACTATATCACTTCACTTATAACACCAATGAAGTATTGTCTCTACAATCTCTCACACAGATAACCAACCATACCAACGCTTCCAGAAAATATTGTCTATCACAATAATTTTCACCAAGGTGCTTTATAATGTGTTCTTTTCATAATGTACCAAATAACATTGTGGACAATATCTTTGTATGATAAATGGTACGTGCAGTGAAAATTGCAGGTAGAAGGTACCAAATGGGAATACCTAAAAGTTTTTTCAGTTCAGTGAAAATTAATGGTGTACCATTAAATCAGGCTCACATACTTTGATTTAGATGAGTCAGTATATTTAAAGAAAGGAATTACAGGTTTAATTTGTAAATTATTTCATATAATAGTATTTAGTGCTTCTGTTAAATCAGAGATGAGACTCCTAAAATACAGGTCCCTGAAGCTTTAGCAACACAGCCAATTTTAAAAGATAGTGCTAAAAGTCTTACAAATTTTACAAGACCTTACAAACCCATATATTATTAAAATTTATAAAAGCAGTTTATCACCCAGATATGACAAAATCCATTAGGTTAGCTATAAGAAGCATTGTAAGATCCTAATTCTTGATTTTTTTATTTTTAAGTTCATTTTGTTATTACCTTAAGTTCCATTTCCCTGCTTATTTACACCTTTTAAAGATTATTATTTCAACTATTTAAAAACTAAATATTATGTGCAATGAAGCATAATAAATATATTTTTCTACCTACTGATTAAACATTTGTTTCTGTGAAAGACTATATTTTGTGTATAATTATATTGCATTAAAATGTTGTACTAGCACTTCACTTTCATTTGGTCTCCTGTCACCAACATAAAAATGTCATGAATTACAAATAATTTGCTTTATATTGCACACACATTTAGCCAAACAGCAGCTAAGTTTAGATATTTATATT